CCCCAAAACCCCAAAACCCCAAAACCCCAAAACCCCGTAAGATTAGAATAGGTATAAAATCGTAATGAATTCAAATCATTTCGTAACATCATCCTCAAAATTAATAAATCCAAATAAATAACCAGCACCTAGTACTAAAATTGCTAAAAAGCTCAGTTCTAAAAACAAAACACAAATGTTCTTTCCAAAAGAGTCAGCTGCATCCGCAAATTACTCCTCCATACTCATATTCTCCGTATTATGCCTAGTTCCCTTACCCTTAGAATACTGACTTTTTAATAACTCTAAAACTTCTTTCCTCTCTTCTTAATCATCAATTTTTTTAATCATAGCTTAGAAATCTTTAACAGAGCTACTCTCTAAAGCATTTACATATTTATCCAATTTCCTCTGTTTTTATTCATCTAAACCACTTTCATTTTTCTTAGGTTACTTATTGTTATCTTAATTTTTTTATTCCTTTCCTTTTTCTTCTTTATTCTAAGGTTTATTAGAGAAATAGGCCAATAAGGCAACTCCTACAGTGATTCCGAGAATGATTTGATAAATTGCCATTTAAAATTAAGAAATTATAAATTTATATTTGAATTAAGAAACAATTAATGAGTAGTGATAAGTTAAGATTGAAAAAAAGAGTGAACAGACTTCAGTAATTATATACAAAATTAGGCAGGGATCCCAATGCAAAGGGTAAGTCAACTTTAACTGTATATAATTTTGCAGAATATGAGGTAAAATCACTTACAATGGATTTTGATAAAGTTCTAAGAAAATAATTAGCGAGATTAAAGAAAGCTAGATATTAAAGACTGAAGACTAGGCAGCATATTCTATTCACATACGGTCTAAGATCGAGAGAGAGGATAAGTACATTTAAGTTATATACTAAAATATTTTAGCTATTGATGAGGAAATAAATTCAATGATGAAAGTATTTGAAGCAGACTAAAAACGTTTGAAGAGTATTTTGCAAACCTATGAAGAGAAGAAGTCTGATCTGGTTGAAAGAGAAAAGAAAGAGAGACTTGATGTTATCTCAATGACTAAAGATTGTTTTACGCTTTTCAAGATTGAATATAATGATTAGACTAGTAAATTTGAAAAAGGAATATTGAACAATGATGTGAGTATAAATGATATGGACAATACAGTTGAAACTAACCATAACATCTCTAGAATGAACCTTAACTACTAGGATAATGAAAAAAATGAAACAGTATCTGCTTTTATGATGGATGATGGTAGAGATATAAGGATGAAACATGAAAAGTAGCATGATTTTGATGGACTTATAAACTAAATAGTATTGTATCGTGATTTTAAATCATTTATAATAGGTTAAGAGATTAGAGTAAATTGAAAAAGAATGGGTTTTAGGGGAGTTCGATAATGTAAGTATAACTTCTATAATTGTTTCATACTTAGGATGAAGTAGTGAATGATCATTATTCTATAAAATTTGAGAATTTATACGATACAGTTACATAGATAAGGACAGTGAGGCATATGTATTTTGATATATGCTTGATTATAAGTATAATGGTTATGGTTACTCTAGCTTTGCAGATTTTAAAGGAGAAGGGATATATTAGTAGCTATCATTTCACAAATATACAATAATATTGATTAATTTCAAACCAGAATAGTAATTGAAGTTGATTTAATTATCAATTTTAATATTACTTTATCAAAAATTCAATCTAATGAAAACGGGGTTTTGGGGTTTTGGGG